AATAAAAAATATTTGTTAATAAAATTAAAAACTTTTATATATAAGAAAAATCATATATTTTACTAATTATAATTAATAAAAAATTTAAGCATTATATTACTTTTAATAGTCATTGTATATGAATATTTTATTATTTTATCAAAGATTAAAAAGAATTTTTAAATATATTATTTTAGTAAGTATATGAAAAATATATAATATATAAATTAAAAATATAGCTCTTATATTAAAAAAATAAAATAAAATATTTTTTTAAAAATAAAAATGATATTATAAGAGTTAAATATAATAAAAAAATAGAAATAATTATATAAAAATAAAGATAATTATATAATAAATAATAAAATAATAGAAAAATAAAATTTTTATATAATTAAAGAAAGATTATGAAATTAGAAAATTTTATATTATTATAGTAATAATATCTTATTTTTTAAAGTATTAATTTTATTTATATATAAAAAGAAGATATATTAAAATTATATATAAATTATAGAGCTTTAAATAAAATAATTATCAAAAATTATTATCTACTATCTAGAATTAATAAGTTGATAGATAGATTTATAGATTTCAAATATTTCTTAAAATTAGACTTATATTTAAAATATTATTAAATTTATATAATAGAAAAAGATATTTATAAAACTATTTTTAAAACTTATTATAATTATTATAAATTCTTGATCTTAACTTTTAATCTTACTAATATACTAATTATTTTTATAATTTTAATAAATAATATTTTTATAATTACTTGAATAAGTTTATAATTATATATTTAGATAATATTTTAATATATAATAAAATAAAAAAAATATATTTAATATCTTTAAATTATATTAGACATACTTTATAAGTATAAATTATATATTAAATAGAAAAAATATAATATAATTTAATAATATATTAAATATTTTATTTTAGCAGATAGGATTTTTATTAATTAAAAAAAGATTATTATAATTAGAGATTAATTAGTATTAATTAATATATCTAAACTTTATTCTTTCTTAAAATTAACAAGTTATTATAAAAAATTTATTAAAGAATTCTTAATAATAATATAATATTTCTTTATAAAAATAAAAAATATATATAGTTAATATAAGTATAATAAGCTTTTAAATAATTTAAATAATATCTTATATTAGTATTAGTATTAGTCTTATTATTACCTAATTCTAAATTATTATTCATAATTATTACAAATATTTTAAATTTTATTATAGAAGTTATATTAAGTTAAAATCAAAATAAGAATGATCAATTAATAATCTTTAAGTTAAGAAAACTTTTATTAACTAAATAAAACTATTTAATTTATGAAAAAGAATTACTTATAATTATATATATTATCAGATTCTGAAAGTTATATCTTGAAGAATAAAAGTTTATAATAATTACAAAACATACTTTTCTTAAATATATTAAAATTAAATATAATTTTTTAAAGAGATAAGCTTACTAGTTAGAAATATTATAAGTTAATAATTTTGAAGTAAAGTATAAATCTGGCAAAGATAATATAATTATAAATATACTTTTTTATTAATTATATCTAGCTAATATTATAATAATTATTACTAATCTTATTAATTAATCAAGAAGTATAGAAAGATAAATATTTTATAAAGATATTTGAGATATTAAAGAATTTTAATAATATAATTTCAAAATAATAGATAAAGATAAAATATTTTAAATTAAAAGAAGACTTATTTTATTTGAAAAATACTAATTATATAGTTATATTTGATAATAAAATATTAAAAGTAAAGATATTATTTAAATTTTATGACATATCAATTGTAAAATATATTAATATAGATAAGATATATATACAGTAACAATCAAAAATAATGTAATGCAAAATTAAAAATTGTTAAATTATAATATATTTATAAGTAGCTAACAAAATTTAAATAAAATTAATAAATATAATACATTAATAGTACCAGTTTTATTTAATAAAATTTAATTTACTATTATTAAACATAATTTTGAGATAAATATGCAAACTTGTATAAATTAGTATTGCATTTATTTTGATCTTTTATTTGAAAGATCGAATAATAAGTAAATGCTATATAGAAGTTGCAAAATGAATAATTGTTTTATTTATTTTTTTTTTCTTAAATTATATTATAGCTTTTTAATAATAAAAAATAAATATCAAAATATTATATAACTCTTGAAGAAAGAGCTGAAATAATCATTTTACTTCAAAATAGATATACCACAAGAAAAATAGCAAGAACTCATAAAATTAGTTCTTTTATCATCTTACATATTAATAAAAAATGATATGAATAATATATTTTAAATAATTTAAGTAAGTCTGATCATTCATGATTATTAAATGACTGGTTAGAAAGAATAACAATCTATCTTATAACATCTCATAACTATTCTATTACCATTATCATCTAAAATTATCTTCATAAAACTGAAAATATTAAAATTTCAGAGTATACTATTCATTATACACTAAAAAAAATGATTTAGTAGTGAGAATAAAACAAAAAAAATCATATCTGAAGTTCAAAAATTAACAATATCATCTTAAGTTCACCAAAAAATATAAAAACTAGATCTATGAAGATTAATCAAAAACAATCTGATCTGACAAATCTAAATTTCAAGTTTTTAAATCTAATAAAAAATAATATTATTAGAAAAGAACAGATGAGTCATTAAAAAGTTATCATATTAAATCTATGATAAAATTTAGTAGTGGTAAAGTAATAATATGAAGTTATTTTACCTTTTACGTTATTAGTAACTTTTGTAAGATCAATAAGAATATGAATAGTATATTATATTGATAAATTCTTGAAAAAAATCTTATGAATACTATTGAAGAACATGGATTAGCTATCAATAAGATCATTTTTCAATAGAATAATGATTCCAAGTATATAGCCAATTTGATGAAAGAGTGATTTGATAATAATAATATTACTGTTTTAAATTAGCTAACATAATCATCTGATCTAAATTCAATTAAATATTTATAGAATAAAGTAGATCATTATCTTTAATATCTTTCTAGATCAATTTCAGATATGGAAGACTTATGGGAAAAAATATAGCAAGTTTGAGAGGAAATTGATGTAAATTATTACATAAATTTAATTTATTTTATATCAGAAAGAATTTGTGACATAATAAAAATACATGATAATTATACTAGATGGTAGTATATCAGATATAATTAAAAAATAAAAAAATATGATATTTTTATTTTATATTAAGAATTATATAAATTTATATTAAAAACAAGTAAAAATAATGTAATACTAAAAATTAAATAAATATTATGATTGTGATATAATTGATTTAATTATCCATGTTGAATTTATCATATTTAAGTTATTTGCATATATGTAATTAAATCTATCAACTATAATTTGATATTCTTAAGTCTATATAAAGATATCACAATTTAATAATTTTTAATTTTGTGTTGCATTACTTTTGATCATCACTGTAATTAATAATTAGTAAAAATTAATTGACTTTATATGTAATTAGAACAAGTTGTCAGTAAAAAAATCCAAAAATTCTGAAAAAAATATATGTTAAACTAGAGAACTTTAGCTATTTTTTGAGCTAAAAATAAAAAATATTTGTTAGTAAAATTAAAAACTTTTATATAAGAAAAAACAAGTATTTTATTAATTATAATTAATAAAAAATTTAAGTATTGCATTATTTTTAATTGTCACTGTATAATATTAACTTTAATAAAATAAATCTTTTAAATTATAAAATTAAAATAAAAAATTTATTTACTTTTGATTTTATATTTTATATAATATATTTTTTATTATTTTATAATAAAATTATAATTTAATTCTTTAATATTTATTAAAACTATTATAAATTTAAATATTTATTCAAATACTTTTTTAAAATAATATATTTTTTTAATTAATTTTATATATTTTTTTAAGTTATATTTTTTTAATTATTTAATTTTGTATTTTTTATTAATAATTCTAATTTATTATTTTTAATAAATTATATAATAGTAAAGATTCAATAGATTTTTAATTATTATTATTTATATATTTTAATTTAAGTTATAACTATTTTATTTAATTTTTAAATATATTATTTATTTATAATATATAATAATTATCAAAAATTTATATTAAAAAGTTAAATTTATTAATAAATATAATAAATTAAATTTTACTTTATATTAAAATTTTTATTTTATTAATAAATATTTTTTATTTTATATTAAAATAAAATTTATAATTTATAATTTATAATTTAATATATATTTTTTTAGAGTTTTTCTAAAAGAGTTATTTTAATTATAAAATTTTTATAAAAATTTTTATAATAACTTTATAATTAAAATAATACTTTAGAAAAATCTAAAAAAATTTGAATTAAATTATAGATTATAACTTTATTTTTATATAATATTTATTAATAAAATTATAGATTTTAACATAAAGATAATTTCAATTTTTACTATATTTATTAATAGATTTATATAATTTTTAATAATTATTATAAAAATTAAAAAATAATAAAAGAACAAAAATTAAAAATAATACAAAATAAATATATAATTCTAAATAAAGTAAAAATACTTAACTTATTTGATAGTGATATTAAATATGAATAATAATAAAGATTTTTTTAAATATTATTATTAGTTACTTTTATAATAAATTAAATTTTATATATATTTAATAATATAATTTGAGAATAATAATATATATCTCTAAGCTTTGAAATTTTCTGTTGGCTAAAGAATTCTAATTTAAATAATTTCTAAAAGTAAAAAATGCATTAATTGATATTTATTATAGGAAAAACAGTTTTTATTCAGCACTGTACATGGATTGATCACTTCCAAGTTAGGCAATTTGAGAATTTCACACCGTTACGTAAACAAAGTATCAGACAGGCAAGATTTACTATATTGTATGCAAGATACAAAAAATATTCACCAACGTTTTTTCTAATTTAGAAGAATGGAAATTAATTCGATATTCCAAATATTACCTACGGAAATTCGTCAAGAAATTTTCAAGAAACTGAACAGAGGATCTTTGTTCAATTCTCTATTGGTTAATCGGCAATTTTGTCTAGAGATTGTGCCAATTCTTTGGGAATCACCCCTTGAACTTGCATACCGCTATAGAAAACATGAAATTTTTGCAAAACTTACAAGGGAATATGAAATTATTGTAAGCGTTTATGTTGGATGTTTCTCAGAAGCAGCATGGGAGTATCTAGGATCCAACCAAGTTAATCGACCGTACGCTATGTGGCAACCTACGTTTAAATATGCTTCATTCTCACGTCATTATGAAATAACACGTGTAAACGACGCAGTAGATGCATGGATAACTCAAAACTTATATTATCCGACTGACAAGCATTTGAGCATACGCAAAGCATTGACAGTTTCCTTATCCAGACTTTTATTGAATGAATCGACTTCTTTACATTCTTTAACTAATGACTTTCAGTATGACCAAGAAATTTGGGGTGTAATCACAAAAGAATGCTCAATCGAAAAAATATTTGGAAACCTCAAGGAACTGAACGTCGCCCACTTTTCATTGGGAAATAATAGTCGAATGTTCTTTGAGAACCTGGCCAATACTTGCCATTCGATCCAAAGAATCACATTTACGGGCCATGGATTAAATATTGAAGAAAAAATTACGACCAAAGCATTGCGGCACATGATGAAAGCACAAAGCGAATTACAATGGATCCGGTTACGTCATTTATCTAGTATTGAAAGTAGAATTATTTGTAACACTCTTTCATCAAAAAACTTACAAGCTATTGAATTCATCAGAATTGATTTTAATTGTTTTAGTGCTGATAACGAAATTCCAGGATTGAGCGCATGTGTTAATCTGATCTGTTTAAGTTTTCGGTATTGCACAGCGTTAGAACAACCATGTTGGTTTGAAACGGCTAAATCTTTTAAAAAATTGGAAAGGCTTTCAATTCGACTACCAAGTCATATGGAACCACCAACTGATCTAGTAGCGGAAATCGTCAAAGCTAGTGGCAATAATCTACAATACTTGCTAGTAGAAAATCATAATCATTCTAGTCATGCTACTTATATTAACAAGATATTTCCGTTAATTATTCTTAATTCTCGCAATCTCCGAGCAATCAATTTGTTAAATCTTGGTGTAAATAATTTGTCCACCTTGATGGAATCATGTCCAAAACTTTATCATCTGGATTTGTATACCGAACATTTGGACGATGCATTTTTTAATACACTAGCAAGAGAGCTTCGACCCACAATCAAATCTCTTAAATTAATCCTCCCAGGTCGGAGGATACGAGCATCGGCGGAGCCATTTATTCGCTTCCTGTATGGTGCTCACAACCTAGAGTACTTTTCCTTTCATCCCTTTAATTTATATGAATCATACGGAACGTTGATCAAGAATCATGGTATTAAATCAGAGTGTAGTATGTAGTAATATAATAATTTTCTTTACGTTTTTATTTTGACTAATCTTTCTAATTTACCTTTTTATTCTTTTACAGAGATATTTCCCAGATATTTTAGGCATAATGCTAAATTCTATCGAGCAGTTTGAAATGTTAAATCAGTTCTTTATCATGCTTCGATATTGGTAAAAGAGACTCTTAATTTTTATCGAAAGATTCGTATATAAGAAATTTACTCATCAATTATACTGCATCTTTGTAAAGTTTAGGTTTCTTTCATTTTCTACACGTTTTGAAATTCATATATCTCTATTGACCGTTTTTATGGAATCAAATTTACAGTATAAAAGAGAATTGTGCTTTTTCGGATGCATCTAGAACTCATAAAGCTCTTACATTTAAAAACACCAATTTAAAGTTTGGATTTAAAAAATCATTTTTAAAATGTAAAAATATTTGTAATTTGAAATTTGATTGGACGCATAAATTTGGTTGATCAGCCCGTGAAAAAAACCAAACATGTACTGCAAAGAAATAAATATAATAATCAATTCTCTTGGTAAAATCGATATCTTAATTTTTGATTATTTTTATTATTACAACTTAAGTCATTTCTCTAAAGGTTTTCAAATTTTATAGATGATATTCAAGATATTATAAAGCACAGTTGAATACGTAGAGAATAGAGTAAATCAAATAATAGCATACAAACACAAGGTGATTTATTGACCATTTGGCGACCGTGTTTATCGTAAATCGGGGCTGTTCTCTACCATCATTATAGAGATGACCTGAATAAAGTTGCCCAAAAGACGTGTTGCGAGGTCCCACATTTTATTAAACGACGTTAGTAAGGTCTACTTTGTTTGTCGCAGGTGAATCATTATTTTGTTGATGTTACTCAGTATTTAATTAATCCTCTATAAATTAGAAGAGCCTTTCGATTTTTCTTATTCTCATATATACAAAACAGTGACATACGTAGTATTCTATGTATAGTAAGTTTATGACATAACATATTACTCACAACGAGAATTATATGACCCAGACCTGATGATGCTAAAAAATGACATCAAATGTTTACACCCATTGTTCATTTGCGTGCGAAAATACGCATTAACGATAAATTCAAAATAATTGATCTCACCTTTTTCTCAAATTAATTAACAATGATGCACAGTAACTCAACTTCTACAAAAAACTTAAAGACCGAAAGAGTGCTAAAAGTAATCTTCATTGTTGCAATAACAGCACTAATAATTTCTCTTATCATACCAAACATCAAAAAAATAATCAATCCACAAGTTCCATTAATTTCGCTTGCGCTCCAAAACAAAACGCTCACTGGAATTGAGGTGCCAAACGCGTTTGTATGTAGTGATCTGGTCGAAAGAATCACAGTCGAAAAGGTACCACGTGGAGAAAAAGCACGTATGCTTAGTGATCAAAGCATGTATCGTGTCGAAAGTTTATTTATTCTAAAGTCAGCCGGTGATTGGTTTTTTGCGTTCCCAAATATCAGCAATTGTTTTATCTTTGAACCAAATGGAAAATTGATGTTTAGTCTGGCTGAAAATAAAAGTGGGATTGATTACATTGCGATTAATGGCTATGCTCCTGGAAATGCAAGTGCTGAAATTAGAAATATTG